ATACACTCAGTCTTTTTAGGAACAAGAAGATAAGATGGTGATAGATTGTTCCTTAAATAATTCTGAACAAGCGACAAGCAACAAACTTCGATTATTTTCAGAGGGCACAAGCTAAGACCACTTTTTGAAAATGACATTTTTGTGAAAGTTTGCAAAAACTATACCTAAACCGATATTTACTTTCGTAAAATGTTTTCTTCATAATTTTGACCTCCGGATTGTGACTAAGTTGTCAAATTTAAGTTTTAGATAAAACCAAAATCACTACGAATCAAGATTCGAAAACAATTCCCGGCTGTTAAATATGTCAATAAAATCCGATTGCTGGTTTTTACTGTTTTTTTACATATCGTAAATGAGTATTTAAGGGACCACCATATTGAGAAAATGAATTGGCCACCTTTGTCTCCGGATATAAATCCTATTGAGCATGTGTGGAGCAGGATAAAATTGAAGATGAAAGAGAGGGAAGGAGGCATGGAAAATTTGGATGAATTGGTAAATGCTATTCAGGAAGAATGGGGTATCCCAGAAATTTCTAAGGAACTTGGTCGAGGGAATGCCCAGGAGGGTTAACGAATTATTACGGCTTAGGGGAGGGCCAACGAAATATTGAAAGGTATTATTGTTATTGTTTGTTACATTTTTCTGTTGAATGTTGAAGTTTTGATTATGATTATATCTACGCATACAATTTTCAAAAATGAACAAAAATATTTTTATTTAACTTTATTATAAATTAGGTAGGTACTTATCAATGATGTTCTCACTACTGCGCAATGTAAATGTAAGTTATGTAACATTATCCTAACCACTCAAACAAATTATAGTAATTTCGCCCAAAAAATGAATCCCCAAATGGCATTTTCATCATAAATATGCAAGAAACACGACAGCAATCGGATTTTATTAAGACATTTAACAACAGGGAATTGTTTTCGAATTTTGATTCTTGATGATTTTGGTTTTATCTGAAACTTAAATTTGACAACTGAATCACAATCAGGAGGTCAAAATTATAAAGAAAACATGTCACGAAAGTAAATATCGGTTCAGGTTTAGTTTTCGCAAATTTTCACCAAAATGTCATTTTGAAAAAGTGGTTGCTTAGGCCCCTCTGAAAATAATGGAAGTTTGTTGCTTGTCGCTTGTTCAGAATTTTTCAAGGAACAATCTTTTACCATCTCATTTTCTTGTTCTTAAAAAGACTGAATATATTGCCTACCAAAAAGCCTTAAATGTACTCTTTTGAAAAAAAAATCATATTTTCGTTGCTAAGATTCCAATTCGAAAAATTTGAAAAACGTTTCAAGGTAACACATAATACTTCATTATTTCAAAGTAAAAACGAAAAAAAAAATATTGTTTTACAAACGGGGCTTGGATGAAGTTATTGAAATTTTTCACCGTTTTACATATCACCCTGTAGGAAATTTACTTGAAGAACCGTATGCTTTATATCTATAGCATGAATTGCCAGAGGATGGGGTTAGCAGACATCAAAGACCAAAATAAAATCGTTCAAGAAACAAAAAAGTTATGTCGTTTTGAAAAAGGACGAACTTTTTGGTCGCGACACATTGAGTGGTGCGCAGTTTAGTTTCCCATAAATCCTCAGATATCTCAAAAAAGCAGCATCCTGTTCAGGGGTGGACATTTTAGGACGACCTGAACCAACTTTTTGGTTTAGTAAATCTTCCTGTTCCCAGCGTTGCTTAATTTTTAATATAGATTTTTTATTTCTATTATACCACAGTACGAATTGACCATTCTTCTTCGATTCTTGATACTATTTGAGCATTTTTAACTGACGAGGCATTTTTATTTTCTACTGTCAGTTATAGTGACTTAAGTCAGTGGAAAGCCGGTTTTACGCAATAATGTTGACAGTTTTCTCTCATTCTAATTCTTGTACGCTTTTTTATTGAATACAACTGTATATATTTTGTCAAAAATATTAACTGTTTTTTTCATAAAGGTCAGCTATAAAAATAGAAAAATAAAAACATTATTGTGTTGTAAAAACTAGAATAAATCCTAAACAAAAAATAGCAAAAAGGTAAGTATTATAAAACTTAATAAGTAACTTATAAATTTTTATATTAGTCAAAATATAATTTTGGGATTGTAGCCCGGATTGTAGTTTTTTTGGTATTTTTAAATAGAGATAATAACGAGTTTTTCTTTTTTTCTGATAATCCAGGTTTTCGTGTATATGCTTTTCTTAAGAATAAAGGTCTTTCGATTTCAGACCTACTTCTTTTCCTTGAAGATTCTTTTACGTTTATTGACTTAAAGTGTTCATCAGCATAAGAGTTCTTGTAATAAATAGTATTTAAGTTCTCTTTAGTCACCATAAAAATCTTTAAATTTGAAATTTTGAAAGTTTCTTCATCGATGTTTCTGTTAAAAATTTTTAAAACCATATCTGAGCCTAAAGTTTTAAAGTCAAATATGTCAGAGTAAGAAATTTCATTAATCTTATAAGGGGTACCCGTTTTTTTGCGCTTCGTATCAGAGTAAAATATTGTTCGGGGATATAAATAGGTCCTTACTTCAGACTTTTTTTTATTTGCCTTTCTATAATTGAATGGACAGAGTCGCCTTCATTTTGACTGTGTCCTGAAATTAGATATTTGTGTGTGATACTTTTAATATTTTTAAGTGTAGTTACCGCATAAAGATACATTGTGAATAAAAAACGATTTTTTGTTGAGCCCCACAGTTGTCTGAATAAAATACGACATCAATATTGGTGTTTTCTAATTCTCCTTGACTGTTAATTTTTTCTTAATATTTGAAGACACAAGTACCAATTTCATTAGCACCCCTCTGTGCCTGACCCTCATGCCAAACGAAACATTCCAGGTCTTTTGCCATTAAGTTAAATATTGTTTAGTTTAGAAACTTAATAAAAGTTAGACGTATATCCTTTTTTGAAAAGTGACACATCTCGAAATACTCCATATTTTTTATCTTTGGATCATTTTTAAAAAGTGACATAAATTAAAATATGACGGGATAGTGAAAAAGTTATTAAGATATTTATTACTTACCTTATATAAGAAAAATGGCACAAGTCGAAATGTGACCGTTTTAATATAAAATATCAAACAAAAACAATGCACAACTAAAAATATGACGATTTACTCCCGTAAATAAAAAACCAACTATCGAAATATTTTAAAATGTGTCGTTTTTCTAGAGAAAAAGTGAGCCGTCATACTCAAGAGCTAAAATATTACTCAGAAGTGTCAGTTTAGTTTTATGGGCCATATGTGTTTACCCCAAAACCAAAGTGACACAAGTGCCATCTCTTGCCCATTTTTAAAAACTAAGATGTAACAATTTTCTACTAAGTAAAGCATCATTTTTTAAACTGTTCTGCATGAAAACCCGGTTTTTAAATTTTTTTGAGTTGTGACAGTTTTCCTCCGGATGAGCGATTTGGTTTCGCCGTTTCTGAAATATTTGCATTAAAAAAAAAACAAAATTATTTTGCCTGAACAAATCGTAGTTGCCATGAAAAACAAATTATTTAGTTCTAGCTTACTTTTTAAATAATAAGTTAATACATAAAATAATTAATGTCCATTTGTACTTTTATTAGATAAAGATAACCTAAAAATAAAATTTTCAGTGAGGTGAAAAGATGACTAGCGCCACTAATGTTTTTTTAAAATAATTATCCACGTCATTTCATTACAATGCGTGCTAAATCCAACGAATATTGATTATTATTATTATTATGTAGATATAAAAACTAGTATGTTTTAGTAAGTTTCACGTGATTTATTTATTTTTGACAATTGTTACTTCACACAGTGACTTCTTCAGAATGTGACGAAACAATTATTGTTAAAAATAAATAAATCACGTGAAACCTAAAAAACATACTAGTTTTATATCTACATAATAATAATAATATGGAGTTTCATCAAGTAAAGGTGGAAACAATCAAATATTGAATATTGATTAAGTTGTTGATGGGAAACTAATTTTTTGTAAAACTTGTATCTCTTTTAGCAAACATTTTTAAGCAATGTGTTTGATAAGAGTCAGGGGCGTGCTGGGCCGCCGGGACACCGGGAGAAATCCCGGTGGGCCGGTGGTCCGGAGGGCTAAGTGGGCCGGTGTGCCGGAGGGCTATGTAGGCAGCATGCCGTAGCACGTGGTCAATTAAAAACTTTTTTAGTTGAGTTATGTATAAATATCATAATTATTCTTTTTTCGAGATTGTATATTGTTTATAGGTTTCCTGAGCGATGGTAATTTGTATAAGTTTTTATTTTAAGTGCAATGCTATATGTTTTAGCATTTTGTAAAATATTGTCTGGCTGTGTTTGTTGCCTGTTTTTTTTTCAAGAATTTAATTTATACTTTATGTTATTAATTATTAATATATTAATAAATGTTTGAAATTTTTTAACTTTATTTACCCCCCATTTTTCGTGTGTAGTTGGCCGATTTTTCTGAATTTCCCGGGCCGGTCTGATATAGCCAGCACGCCCCTGATAAGAGTCCACCTTATTTTTAATGCTCTATTACCTTAAAATTAATGAGGTTTAAACTGGATCACCAGTATACTAGAAGTTATACTTAATTTTTTAAATAAATGTAACATTAGAGTACATTATAGTACATTTTAAAAAGGGTTATTTTTTTAAGCCTAAGTAATAAATACATAATCATTTTCGTAAAACTATAAATTTTTTCATATAAAATTTATTTATACTTTAATGTATATTTTTACAAAACCATTTACTCTTTGTTTAATATTTCCTACATTTGTCACAAATAGTAAACAATATTTGTATTGGCCTTCATTTCCGGCTTTTATTTAATTATTCTTGTTAAATTTGTTTATTTTTCTTTTTCATATTATTGTTGATATAATATATTTTATGTCAATAGAATTAAATAATGAATATTTAATAAATTTTATTTATCTTTTCATACTAAAAACATGTTTTTGTTAAATACACATTAATATCATTTACCTGCTTTGTTCTCCTTGGCGATAGGTTAGCCTTCTTCCTTCTGAAGGAAACAACCAGTGGCCTTCGAGAGTCGTGCAGACGTGCCATTTCAGCATCGAGGTACCGTAGCGTGCTTTGGTGGCTGTAAGAATCTGTGATGCTATGACTGTTAACTTGCGAAGATCGCGTTGATAAAGTCGAGTAACACCTACCTCCAGGAAATCGGTGTCCCTTGCGTCCGCAGTTCTTGTACGTGTTCTGCAACACACACATCACATCATATCAAAGTCTGTATTTGTTTGGTTTTCCGAGAATGGTCTTTTAAAAACACGCTGCAAACGATAATACATAAATAAAAATATATTACTTCCTCATGACAAAAGTTTTATAAATTTTTAAAATACATATTAAGCAGTTCACTTAAATAAAATTCATACGTTTTAAAAGATTTAAAGGCAAAATTAATGTTTTTGCAAATAATAATTGATTTGTTCTATGTCCAATATGTTATAATCGAGATAAACGGGTTTGAAACTTTTACATTAAATATCTTATTTGTTTTTTAATGAAAACCTAATTAAACATTAATATCAATATTCTTGTTTAGCCTTTAATTAGTTCTATTGAGCAACTCTTATCTCAAATTTGGATTTATGCCTCAATATTGAAAAAATGTTTTGGAGATAAAACGAAAAGTGCTATTTTTGGATTTTAGAAACAAAATGTTGGACATATATGTATGTACATTATATATAACAAAGTTTTAGGACATGAAACAAAACTGAATTAAAAAACACTTTATTTAATAATGATTTACTTTAATAATAATAATTATAATTATTGTCAAAATACAATGTTATATACGTAAATAGGTGAAAAAACGTGTACTGGCTAAAGTGGATATAGAACAAAACAATTTTATACTTATAAGGAAGCTTTCCTTGGAGATAGCACAAAACAGTTATAAAATATTTTTTCCATATGGATATAGCACAAACAAATACTAATTAATTTAAATATATTTTTTATGAAAATTTGATAAGTTTTAAATAATTTTTAATAAAGGTAAAATTGTATTAAAAGGCTTTACTTCCATGAGAGATTTTCAAAAAAAAATCGTCAAAAACGCTCTTTTTTAAATAACTTTTATAATAATTATTGTTTATATATATATTTTTTTTAATTTGGGAATATTTTACTATCAATAAGTACTACAAAAACCAATAATTGTTTTTTGTATTTTCCAAAGTCGGGAAAACAGTGATCCGTTATATTAAATATAATGTACTCTTATATAATGTACCCTTATATTAAATATAATGTACCTACCTATAGTAAATATAATGTACCTACCTATAGTGTTAATAAAATAGCATGATTTATTTACATATACAAAAGTTTATATACAAAAGTGCTCTTTTAGTTCCACCCTTCCTAAGAAGTCCCAGAAGCCAACTGAATGGCTCGTGCGGGTTAGGGGTAGGAACGGACCGCGGGCTTAAAGTCCCCTCCGAAGGACTATTAATATGTTAATTAAGAAATATATAAATAATTCAAAGAATTCTGCGCCTCATTTCTAAAGACTAAATATTAACACTAGTGAGCATACTCTTGTATGATACAATGTATACGAGTATATTATATATTATCGTATATTATATTATTCTTTCTGTAGTAGAAATATCTAGAAAACCACAGGAAATCAATGTTACTTTCAGTATTAGTAGATCAGACCACTATACAGACGCGTATTCGAGATCTAACCAGAGAATTATATAATCTTACTATTGTGTCAATATTTTAAAAGTGTTTTTTGTTTCCTAGTGCTTAATAAGCTTAATTATTGACTTAATGATAATGATTATTAAATTTTATGTCAGTTTGAAAGTTAACTCCAATCTCTTGCAATCCTTAGTTACGGTAATCGACTTAAAAGCGTTAAAATAATCAGCAAATACCAAGCTTTTTAAGTAGTAAATGCAGTTAGGTAAATTCACAAAAATTCTATCTACTTGATAAATTAAATTAGGATATACTGACGTGGACTTTTATTTTATGAAATGGATGATTACATCAAGTGAACAAGACATAAATATGTGTATTTGCCGCCCGGGCGTAGATATTTTTTATTCAGCAGGAATAGGAAAAAAAGTAGTTAAACGTTCATTATTTTTTTCAAATTTTTTAGGGTGTGCCAAAAAAACTCGATATTTTTTTTTGCTTGCTCTCCACCCAAAATATCGTAGAATATGTCCGAACAAATATTCTGTTAAAAGCGGAGCTTATAATTTCAATTTTAAGAGGTCCTCCATGATGGGCGCCGGAAGGAATTCGTCTAGGGGGGGGCCCTTAAAGTTTTTTACAATTTTGATAGATGTTATTTATAATCAAGTTGTACTGTAGAAGTTCACATTAAACTTAAGTCAAATAAAATATCATCTTTATACAGGGTGTCCCAAAAGTCAACGAGATCCTTTGGAGGACTGATAGACCAACTCATGACAAAGCAGAAAATCAAAATATGACCTTAGTAAAAAATCGTTAGTTTTTGACATTTTATGAATTTTGTAAACCTTGACACATTAGATTAGTTTTTCGAGTGCCACAGCTACAAAATCTGCTATTAATTTAATTTTGAATTGTAATTAATAGCAGTCCTATTCAGGGTTTTTGTGTCAAGTTTCACAAAATTCATAAAAATGCCAATATCTTAAAAACTAATGATTTTTTACCAAGGTCATGAGCTGACCTATGAGTCCTTCAAAGGATATCGTTGACTTTTGGGACACCCTGTATGTATATTTGAAAATTTGACACAATATATTAGCGCCATCTGTTTATCAATTCACTAGGCTTATGAAGAAATCTATTCTATAGTCGACTTTTTCAACATATATAGTTCGTATATAGAAATATGTCAGCCAAGAGCGTGTCTTACTCAGGGATGGGCAAGATCCGGCAAAAAGGATTTAAATCTAAATCCATAAATCCACACCATAAACTGGATCTAAATCCTCAATCATAAATCCATAACGTTATCTGGATTTAAATCATCAATCCTAAATCCACTTGCAAAAAAGGATTTAAATCCTAAATCCATAAATAAATCCTCTATTTTTTAAATATTTATTTTATTAATTTTTCAGTTTCCGGAATATTTCACTTTTTAAGTATAATTTAAGCTAAAACCCCTTGGATTCCAAATCAAAATTGATATGAACCTTATTGCACGTATATATGATTCCATCGAAGATCTTTCGAATATGAACATAATGATCTGTGGCTTCTGGTTTCTTCGCCATAGGATTATGAACGGAATCAGTAAACTATGCTTCTGATTTCTTTGAACAGCCAGGCATTTCATTCATTTTACAACACTAGTGTTCATTAAGACGGCACAAATCTTAAATTATCTAAGATAACAAATTATGGAGTACCGGAATTTCTGGGTATGAATTTCCAGGGGGGGGCCCGGGCCCCCCCCTGCCCCTATGTAGCGGCGCCCATAGAGGTCCTCCATCGAATCTGAAGTTTTGCCGCATAAATAACACAGAAAACTGACTTTTTCACCTTATTTATTCTTGCAACCTAGGAAGAATTTTTTTTTCATAAAATCCATGACTAATTCTTACAAAGTATTAAATTTGGACAAAAAAATCTTATTAAGCCGAACTTCTATTTTCATTATTTGATTTTTTACAGAGCTTTAAATTTAAAGTTAATAATACAAAAATGATGACTTTATACGTCTGTAACTTTTAGAATATTGACGATACAAAAAATTCGTCATAAACTTTTTTGTGGTCCATCAGACAAGTTAAAAAATTGCCATTTAACGTTTTCGTCTAACTTCAATAGTTTAGCTGAAAAAGGCAAAAAATGTAAAATTTTAAATTTAAAGCTCTGTAAAAAATCAAATAATGAAAATAGAAATTCGGCTTAATAAGATTTTTTCGTCCAAATTTAATGCTTTGTAAGATTTGGTCATGGATTTTATGAACAAAAAATTTCTTCCTAGGTTGCAAGAATAAATAAGGTAAAAAAGTCAGTTTTCTGTGTTATTTAAGCGGCAAAACTTCAGATTCGGTGGAGGACCTCTTAAAATTGAAATTATGAGCTCCGCTTTTAACAGGATATTTGTTCGGACATATTCGACGATATTTTGGGTGGAGAGCAAGAAAAAAAAAAATATCGACTTTTTTTGGCACACCCTAATATATATTATTATACTATAAATAGTGTCACTATTATGGTGTCACTATTATAGTGAGTATAATTAAATAATATTTTTAAATTACAAGAATTCTTTGGTTTGTAAAAATTTTCTTTCGCAATATTCCGCGATAGCTCAGATTATTACATACATAATTGCTGTTAAAATATCGTATTTTTAATGTAAAAGTAATAATTACGTAATGAGTTTAGCGGACTTTGGCAAAACCGAATGCTGCTGTGATGCACGTCAGAAGATTGATTTTAGACCTCTAAAAACAATGTTTAGATGTAAGTACACAACAAAAATTAAACCTCATTTTCATATATGCAATATTGTTTAATTATAGTATAATTATTATACCTGTCTACGATGGTTTTTTTTGCAAGAATTTGGAAAAGGTTGCTGCTAGTACTCGATTTTCCGCCGCACGCGCCCTTCTTTTGTTTTTATAAAAAGTTCCTGAATCTTTTTTGTGTTTTTCAGACATTTTATACTTCTAATTATCAAATTACCTTAGCAATGCACTGATTTTACAACGCACGATCGTGATATAATATTTGTCAATTATTAATTGTCAATTGTAAAATAAAATTATAGAAAACTATACAATATACAGGATATGATTGAAGAAACGAATGAAAGAGAGCGCCAGGGTCGCCAATCGATTTTTTTTTAGTATGTTGAATAAAATTGATCATTAACAAATCGTAAAAATGCCGCCCCCCATTATGCCGCTCTGGGCAATTTAAATTTCTGCTGACATCAATTGATTCCTATAAAAGTCAATAAAAAATAGTTTCCTTTATTTGCCCTTGGGGCCAGTAAGCTCTACAAATATTAAAATCCGAACTTGATAGCTGAGCTAAGATTTAAGGGAAGATGCAGAAACCTGGATTTACTTTATTTACAATATTTATGAGCGTATGTAAAACTAAGCACATAGAGTTCGATTAAAAAAAATTATTAAAGGCAAACTTAGGGAAGGGATATACTAAAATGCAAATTAAGCCAAATGGCAGTTTAACCCAGTTACAAGTTTTTC